CATACATAAATTTATATAAATTCAATTGATGATTTAGTATAGAAATTATTTAACTTGTCAGACAAAATAATTTTCTTTCATCTAACTAATTATTTTTATATTATAAACCTCGAAAATCATTGACAAAGAGAAAGATAACAGCTACACCGATTTGATTTCATGCTAATGCTTACTTTATCCAGATAGAGCAATTTTAAGACAACTGTACCTCATTCATCGAACATCCGACTTAATTGTACCGCAATTAGTTTTTCAAACAATTAATTTTTTGCTTACTATTTATCGATTATTAATGAAGAATTTTCGATGCAGATTCGAGGTTAGGTACGTTGCGCCGACGCTGTCGGAAGAGGGGAAATTCAAAATATTGCAGGTGGAGAACTTTCAATCTGTTGAATTTTCGTTCAAGTATAGATATTTGGAAATAACGTTGATAGAACCACTCGCGGGCACAGTTTATTCAAATTGTATCGATCATTATCATATTATGTCTCCCGAAAATCAATGGCAAAGAGAAAGATAACAGCTGCACCGATTTGATTTCATGCTAATGCTTACTTTATCCAGATATAGCAATTTAAGGACAACTGTACCTCATTCATCGAACATCCAACTTAATTGTACCGCAATTAGTTTTTCAAACAATTAATTTTTTGCTTACTATTTATCGATTATTAATGAAGAATTTTCGATGCAGATTCGAGGTTAGGTACGTTGCGCCGACGCCGTCGGAAGCGGGGAAATTCAAAATATTGCAGGTGGAGAACTTTCAATCTGTTGAATTTTCGTTCAAGTATAGATATTTGGAAATAACGTTGATAGAACCACTCGAGGGCACAGTTTATTCAAATTGTATCGATCATTATCATATTATATCTCCCGAAAATCAGTGGCAAAGAGAAAGATAACAGCTGCACCGATTTGATTTCATGCTAATGCTTACTTTATCCAGATATAGCAATTTAAGGACAATTGTACCTCATTCATCGAACATCCAACTTAATTGTACCGCAATTGAGTTAAAAACGTTGATTCAAATAAGTGAATGAGGAAATATAAAAATTCTAAATTGGCTCTGTAAAATACATAAATGACAAGCTCAATTTGTTCTTTATTTTTTCTAACATTTCTGCAAAAACTGCTCAAATTCATTGTTTGCATAAATTGCTGTACTTAATATTAGCTGTTCTTATAATACATAGTTTTATTTTTTTGATTATGAAATTTGTTCTGGAATAAATTACGTTCCTTACAATGTCTACCGACTAGAATAGTTTACAGTAACAATAATGTGTTGCGCAATTCACGTTTTAATTCGTAAATACTATATTCACCGAAGTCTGTAAGTTTATTTCCACCATTTGATGTATCTTGAAATGAAATATTTTTTTGTATAATAGCCCTTTTTTTCTAAGAATTATCCCATCACTTAGTAGATCCATATATAGATGATAAATATATGCCATTAACAGTAATGAATCTATGTCTTCTACTTCTTTAAGTCTTATTAGGTACCTAGCTACACTTTCCCTGGAAAAATGTGATGCAAATAGTTGTGAAACATTTGCAAATGTATGTAAAAGTGTTGAGTAGTTTTGAATTAATTTAAATACAATGCCTAATTGGCATGTAAATTTTCATCCGTCTTTTTCCTAAATAAAATTCAAATTCTTTTTCAAACGCCTCTGTTCTCTGAAGCCCTTCAATTCGTAACTGCTTCACATAAAAATTAGCATAATTATACTTGAAAGCTTTTGTATTTTAATATGTACTTATACTTGAAAGACCTGATGCTTCGAGCTCATGAGAAATAAGTTTGAGCTCTAAACTAGATGTTTTCGATCTTGCACTGAAAGATCTATGTTTATTTAATTGATGTTTGCAATATTTGTGATTTGAGCTAATACATGTGCGAAGTTGACGAGAAATGTAATTGTATTACTATTTTAGAGAAGACATTAATAAATAAACATTCTTTTTTAACATGTAACTTTTGCTTCCAGAATCAATCATATATTTTCCTGTTTAACGTTTTACTTTCTTTTGATTTCAAAATATTTAAAAAATGAAATTAATCTCTCTTCATAATCTTGATAATAATTTTTAATTTACACTAGTTAGAGTTAATTGCGGTACAATTAAGTCGGATGTTCGATGAATGAGGTACAGTTGTCTTTAAATTGCTATATCTGGAAAAAGTAAGCATTAGCATGAAATCAAATCGGTGCAGCTGTTATCTTTCTCTTTGCCACTGATTTTCGGGAGATATAATATGATAATGATCGATACAATTTGAATAAACTGTGCCCTCGAGTGGTTCTATCAACGTTATTTCCAAATATCTATACTTGAACGAAAATTCAACAGATTGAAAGTTCTCCACCTGCAATATTTTGAATTTCCCCGCTTCCGACGGCGTCGGCGCAACGTACCTAACCTCGAATCTGCATCGAAAATTCTTCATTAATAATCGATAAATAGTAAGCAAAAAATTAATTGTTTGAAAAACTAATTGCGGTACAATTAAGTTGGATGTTCGATGAATGAGGTACAATTGTCCTTAAATTGCTATATCTGGATAAAGTAAGCATTAGCATGAAATCAAATCGGTGCAGCTGTTATCTTTCTCTTTGCCACTGATTTTCGGGAGATATAATATGATAATGATCGATACAATTTGAATAAACTGTGCCCGCGAGTGGTTCTATCAACGTTATTTCCAAATATCTATACTTGAACGAAAATTCAACAGATTGAAAGTTCTCCACCTGCAATATTTTGAATTTCCCCTCTTCCGACAGCGTCGGCGCAACGTACCTAACCTCGAATCTGCATCGAAAATTCTTCATTAATAATCGATAAATAGTAAGCAAAAATTAATTGTTTGAAAAACTAATTGCGGTACAATTAAGTCGGATGTTCGATGAATGAGGTACAGTTGTCTTTAAATTGCTATATCTGGATAAAGTAAGCATTAGCATGAAATCAAATCGGTGTAGCTGTTATCTTTCTCTTTGTCAATGATTTTCGAGGTTTATAATATAAAAATAATTAGTTAGATGAAAGAAAATTATTTTGTCTGACAAGTTAAATTATTTCTATACTAAATCATCAATTGAATTTATATAAATTTATGTATGTAATATTGTTGGTTTCAAAATTTTTCCGCTGTTTAAAGCTCTACGCCTGCGCAAAGTGCATTTCCGCATGACATCCTTGTAAGATGTAACAAATAGTGGTAATTTGTAATTGTCCTATTATTTCTTTTAGAAACAAATTTATGGAATTGTACTGATGGTACAATTTAGACTACAGAAGGTACAATTTTTCTGTGAATTTATTTTTGCTTAATTATGTCTTTTACGTGAATAAATAGGAGGTGAAATATCGATAAGGATATTTCTTATTTTTTATGAGAAATATAATGGTACAATAACAAATAATTATTTTTTCGAGAAGTACAATTAGACATACGTGAGATGTGATCATTTTTTTTTCTAAAATGTTATTTGTGTCGGGCTGTCTTCGCATCGGTACTTCAACTGCACAAATCACGCCTCAGGGCTATGCTTGAGGAAGGGTGGCGTTCGAACGGCCACGTGGCGTACCACGTCGACTCCGGCAGCTGCTTCTAGTGAATCGTCGCGATTGGCTAATTCGGGGGGGGGGGGGTGCTCGTTGCTCAGGTCAAGCGGATTTGGAGGAGGCATCGCGAGCCTCTCGTTCCGTTGGAAGCTGGATCGGACGTGCGCAGACAAAGCTCGGAGCTCGTGGAGAGAGCGGCGTGTCTCGGATCGAGGAGTCGCCTCCGTTATGAACCAGAGGGGAACAGTCTCGGGAAAGAAGCACTGTTGAGCTGCGCCTCATCTCCTAGTGCTCAAATTCATTCACGCACTCGCGTTGCACCGAGATCACGTCGGGGTCACCAATTTGAACACGTGAGACCGAGGTGGCCCTTTGCGCGGGACGGTCAAACGCTCCAATACGAAAATGCAGGAGATAAATAAAATGCAGTACCAAATGAACTTGACAAACTTTATTATCCGTAACAGAAAATATAACTCGGTGGCGAATGGAAAAGAAGTGAGCGCGTGTACAAAGTTACGTAACGCCACGTGGCAAGACTTCCCGAGCACGATAGTCGGAGAGCGTTCCGGAGTCGGTGGCGCCCAGCAGGCGAGAGAGCGGGCAAGAGAGACGGTTCCACTTTTCGTGGAAAGATTCGGAGCTACCCCCTCTTGCCGCAGAAGGTGACGTCAAAGGTCGCTAGCGAGGATCAGCGCTCAAGCGGGAAGTTGACTCGCCTCTTGCCGTCGTTGTCGCCCGAGTGGTGTCAGCACCGACCTCGTGCGGGACGCCACAATCCTCATACTCAAACCAGGAGACGCAATAGGATTGCGCAGTAAACAGCGTGCCTGTAGACAGCTTTTCCGTTCCGTCAATAATGCAGAAATAGCAGAAATACTGTCGTGTTCGGCAAATTCGCTGAAGAATCGTAAATACTGCATCAAAAGTGACAAACAACCGTATTTTTCAACGGAGAATTTTACGCTCTACAACTTTTGTCTCAACTTTTCTCCAATATTCGCGATCGTTATTGAGTTATTTGCAAAAAATTTAACCAATTTTCCTCGATTTTTCATATTTCCCGAAGGCTTTTGCGGCTACTTTTTGAGGCATAGCTTCCTTACATCGAAAGAAACGAAATATCAAAAAAGGTGCTACGCGGATGAAATTTCATTTTCAGAGTTATGTTGACTGGACTATCTACTTGCCTATCGGCTCTCGATCGCGACCCCTGAACGACGTTTAGAAAGCTCGTTTTTGAACGCACAGAATGTTGAAAAAGAAAAATCGTGTTTAATTTCAATTCAAAAATTTAAACGCTCTTTATTAACTTTATGTCATATATTTTTATAATAGGTAAACTTTGAAAGTTGAAAAAATTGATCTAATTATTATACCAAGCAAATTAAAATTAAATAACGTTAATAATAATTTATATTTGAATTTAAGACAGTTGAATAATATAGATATATTATTCCATAAGTTTGAAATACGTATTCAAAAATAGGTATTTAAAGAAATAAATATTACAATAAATTTTGAAAACAAAATGTAATTTGGAACTCAAGTTACATAATTGATAGTGTACATACATACACGTAACTTGATAGACGTCTGATGATAATGATTGTATACTACATAGATAATAGATGAAATATTTTCATTTTGAAATAATTCAATTTTCCAAAACTGTAATAAACATTCGAATACATCACGTATATTTTGCCTCCCCCCCCTCAGACACGTATATAGATATAGAAATACGTGTTGATAATAAGTAACTTTCTGCTCCATAATTATTCTTTAATGGAGATGGAGGCAAAATCAGGATTCAATAGATTTATAACATATACCTTGTTATATGTAGTTTACGTTAAAGCAGTTACAGTTATGAGCAATCGTTTTACCAAAAAAAAATTACACATGGAATAATAAATTCAGCTATCAGCGACGTAAATAAAACAAATGTGAATGCATTTTTGATTGTTATTGATATTAAAAGGTATTCGTTATAGACCTGTGGTATTCCAATTTTAATCGATCAAAAAATAATAACGGCGCAAATGGTCGCCTATTTTTAACACGTATTTATATATCATATAGACATATCGGAGAAAGAGTTTACAATAAATTGTACATATAACACTATATTTCGTTCCAACAATTAAAAAGAAAAGTACGAAGTTTTTTAGATCAATACTCAAAAAATATATTTCTATACAAAAAAATAACAACTAATTAGTTGAAAGGAAATTTTTTTTAGTTCTAATGTTAATATTTTCTTTCAATACAATTTTACTTTCGTTGCACATCGATTACCGTGCATTTCACTCATTACATAGCATTTATTTTCATAACGCTATTTATCTTTGGCTAAAGATATTTTTATTATCAAGACATATTTGGCCTCTTACTGTAAATCTATTCATGTTAATTAAACTATTTCTTTTTATCAAATCATTTACATTGGATATTAAAGAAATGTGATACAAATCTAGCCAATTAAAAATTTTTGAACATCGTGTAATGTACCAATGAAGTTTGAAAGTACCCATGATCATTTGTCAAGCACTATCATAGTAAAATAAATTTTCCATAGTAAAATATTTTATTATACTTTTCAATACTTAATATGATGTTATTTTACAAATAGTCTAAAGCTATTGTTGTGCTATATTTTTGTTGTACTCAAAAATGCAATTTACGTCGCGATATAAAAATATATTTAATAGTTGAAATGCGTGAAAAACATGATAAATAGACAATGATAATGAGCCAGTATTTCTACGTACGTATGTATATATGTATATGTATATTACAAAATGAGAAGCTGAAAATTCTAAAAAAAGTTTATGGAGTATAAGAAGCGAGCGACCAGATTGGGTAACAAAAATAAATTTTCCAAATTTGTCGCGCTCTCGTTTTTACGCGATTGATAAAATGAACACGCAAACTGAAGAAAAAAATAGAATTGGTATGAGTTAATTAATGAATTCTAATTAAGATCAGTCTGTACGAATCACGTGCTGTTCGTAAATGAAAATAAAATATAAAAAAAGGCACATGGCTCGGTAAAACAATTAAAGCGAGACGCGTTATGGTTAGAAGATTCTCATGAACGATTGAATTGAAAAAACGATTGGGAAAGCTCTTGATTAGATGCAACGGCGCCAACGGGAGGATATCTCCACACAAAACAGGTACAAGCTTATCCCTGTGCTATAGAGAAATTCTTAAAGGTACTTCCGTTCCAAGCGATAGAGATGCAGTAGTGCTGTAGAAGTTGAACAAGTAGCTCTCTTTCGTCGAGCATTTCGATGCGTTCAATACGTAACCTGTCTGACTCGGGCAGTGAGTCGTAGACTTCAACCATCGTCCAAGCATTGGAACCTTCCCATCCATTGAGCGTGAAGCTATAATCAATCGGGTCGAATCATTAGGGCCTTATTGCTCAAACAGAGAACACGGAACAAATAATGGACTCACCGCCTCTGCTGCGATTCGAGAGACTCGCAGTCTTCGACGCCGGACAGCAGACAGCCTCGACTGCGCAAGTTGGACAACATTACTTGGCCAAATTTGTCGCGCATGTTGACTTGCTCGTAATTGACAAACAAGCTGTTGGAGAAGTTTTCAGCTAGATATTTGAGTAGAAGGCAGGTGGCACCGGAGTCCACGTAAACGAGCACGCACTCTGCCAGGAATAAGGTCGGCAAATTGAAGTTCACTTCGGCTTGTTTCAATTTGTTCGCCAGATCCGATGCGTGTCGCAAATCCGCGCCAACTAAATGATAATTCGCGGCATGGAGATCTGTCGTTGAGAACCGTATCTCGCCATCTACAACAATTTGTTGATCATTATCACCATTGCTCGTGTAATCACTGCGCACCTGCAGGCGTAATCAAGGTCTAACGTCTACCTTCTGTGTTTAGCCTATCAATGAGTTGCTTATGCTTCTTTATATGATAGCACTTTTTCGCTGTGACACTCGGAAAATCGAGCTCAACGAAATTCAACGGAGTAGTTCCAGCGTCCTTTAGTTTCCAGTACAGAGTATCGAATCCAGCACCCAGATTAATTATTTGACCCTTTCCACCGGATATCTAGAATGATTTAAATTTTACAGCACAAGTATTTGACGTCTTAGAATATGAATGATTTAAAAATGGCTCATTTTCGAATTAATTATCACATATCGCTCTCGCAAATGAGAATTGCCAAGTACAGTAACCAAAGTGGAAAGCTATATCTGGACGGACAAACGTTGGAGATGTAAGTCAGTCAATAGCTCAGCTGTTTCGGAGCACCCATATCAAATACGTGCATACGGAATGCCAAGTGCCTATCAAGGAGTAGAAGCTCAAGAGGAGCGGCACGTGCAAACTCGCGAATAGCTTAATGAAAAAGCTGCGAGGCGCGTGTCCGATGATCGCGCGGTCAGGGTGAAATAGTAACGCATGCGGACGGAAAGAGAGACAGAGGCTGAAAGTTGCATCGACGACTATAGTAGCGCGCACGTGGCGGCCCCAGGATGGCAGCTTTCTGACCTATAAAAGCGGACAGCACTCGCTTATCGGGTCGTACATGCGTTCGTCCCTGCCACGCTGGCCCTGCCCTCCCTCGGCGAAATTGGATCAGGGCCAGGTCAAGGTGAGATCAGCCCCGTACAACGCGCGCCAATCCATCTTGTTCGCCTGCCTCTTCCTCACCACTCCACAAGCTCCAGGACAAGCTCTTTCTTTATTTTCGTTTTGTATGAGACTTCTTTGTGACACGCGAAAGTGCAGAGGATTGCGGTCAGCAAGAGACAAGCATAGGCATAAACATGGATGCGAGCAATTGTGAATGAGACCAAATAATGACCTTAATAAACTTGTCGACAAAGACCTCGACGCCCTTGACGCGAGCGTAGTAACCGCGATTGATCTCGGGTGCCTTGCGCGTGCTCTGCTTGACAAACAGACCGATAAAGTTGTCGGACCAGTAGCCCAGCTGGACCGCGCTCTTCTTGCACTCGCTGGCGTCGTCGTTGGTCGCCTGGGTCGCCTCGTCGTCAGCCATCTCCTTGATCATCGACTCACGCCTCGCGAACAGGCGCCCGCCTGTCCGCTCCGCCTCCTCGCCCAGCTCAGCCGTCGTCTTCGTGGTTATTGCGCTTACCCGCTCGATCCTAACCTGCAGTCAGCTGTGCTGCCCTACTCGGTTTGCTGTTCTCTATCTCTGCTTTAGCACTCTTCTTCTCGACTGCTTTTGGCTCTCGTTGTACCTCTTGATTGCTTCTCGACTTTTCCTCACACTTTCCACTCGAGGGACTTTGCTGAATCGCCGGACTTCTTCAAAGTTCACGCATCACTCGTCATTTCGACGAATCCGCTTATCAACTTGGCTCTGATCTGACGCTCGTGCTCCTCGCGTAGCGCACTCGGAATGCAGTCTGCGATACCTACTTGCAACTCTACCGCCTGCAATATCCCGAGAGTAGCGCGTTTGTTTGGACAGTCGTGGGTGCGCGCTGACTTTCGCAACTTGCGTCGAGGTTATAGTTTCTGATAGTTTTTTCAGATTCGCGCATGATTTTCTCTCTCACTCTTTCTTTCTCTCTTTCTCTATCTCTGACGATAGCAGTTGCAGCTGTTTATATTGTTCTTGCTCTGACGCAGTCTTATAAAATAATAAGATGCGTTCAATAAGAATTTTGACTAGTGCCATTAGCTTAAGTGTATCAGAGCATTAATTATACATTCATACAATATGCTATTCAATTTTCAGTAATTGGTTTAATTTATTATTATATTTAAAAATTCGAACTGACATGCATGACAGAAATCTACATTACCAACAGATCTTTGCCTATATACAAGCATTATAGTGTTGTATCTGTACTGCCAACCGTTATGCAGAGAATCTATGTTATGTATTGTGAGGCTTCGGTCGTTAAAGGTAGTCAAAAATAATTAATAATGTACGTAGTAAAAGTTGTAAAGCAGTATATATTTATCACCATTCAGTTATTCTGTCGGTAGAATAGTATTTATAAACTATTACATTTGGTAATTAGATACTTTTGACCAAGCCTCAAACTCCTAGAATGGATCAAGAAGATAAATTAGAATCAGTGGATCCACATCATGCACTAAAAGTAGCTTATTTAACAATGAAAGAAAGATGTAAACAATTACAAGCTAGATTAAGAAAAGTTGAAGAAGAGAATGAAATGATGAAAAGAACGCAATGTGAAAGAAATATTGCTACAGCATTGAATGTTAATCAGCAAGAAGGAAGTTCATTCCTAACACAACAGGTTTGTTGTTGTAAATAAAAATTTGGAGTGTTACTTGTAATTCTTATATTTTACAGAAACAGTTTGAAGAGTTTAAAAATCAAAATAGACAACTAGCTTTTCACACTTACATGGTCTCATTAGAAAATCGACGACTGTGGAAAAAACTTACAAGTCTATATCAAAGAAATAAATGTTCAAATCCAACTACGAAAACTACAGAATCAACCAAGTTGAATTCGTATTTAGATGTACTTCCTGCCTTAATTTTCAGTGTTCAAAAAATTCCTGGCTTCAATGACAGATATGAAAAAAATTGTATAACAGGTAATGATAGTTGAAAAATAATTTAGAAACTTCATAAATAAATCATTTAAAAATTTACAGATAATGACAATGATCAAAGTTTAGAGGAAATAGTATTAACTGATGAAAAGACTGATTTTGAGCAACAATACATAGATGTGAATAAGGCAGTATGATTCTTAATTATTTATTATTTCTAATTACAATTAAAGTTTGCATTCACTATAATCACATTCATTTAATTACTATAGATTGATGAATCTCAAATAAATAGTGAAACAAATTTAAAAAATTTTGGATTTACATATCCAGAGGATTTACTCACAAATACAGATTCTTTAGAACAATTGAAAGATCATGATATGAGACTTACACAAATAAAAAGAGCACTCTTACTTCAACAGCATAATTTAAGAAATACTTTGAATAATTTAAAAAAAATGAAGAAAAGTATGTTTACTTAAATTCACTAAATATTAAAAAGAATCGGTGCATTGATAATTGATTTATTTTATTTATTATTAGATCAAACCTGCAACAAATGTAAGAATAATATTACAAAACAAATGTGTCAAGCAGGAACACAATTCGATTCTAATTGCAGTGAAAAAGAAAATGGAGAAGCACAACAAACTAGTTTTCCATGTTCCAGTTTGATTGATAACAAGTCTACAAGTCCTGATGAAGATAATATTTGTCCCCTGTGTGGTCTTGTCTATAAAAACTCTATCTCTTTCAATTTATTTCACGAGCATGTTGTTAATCACTTTACTAATGAAATTAGTGATGATTTTGAAATAATAACTTGATATTTAGTCCAAATTTAATCAAGTGGATTAAAGTTAATTTCTTATAATATATATATATTAAGCGCATACATTTTGTAATGAATTGTTGGAAATGTGACTACGAATGAATTTATATTATAAGTATTTATTTTCTATTTGTTATAACAATGGAAATTGCAATAAAAAATGTATTTTATGCTAAGTCATTTGGTTTAACTTCTGTACTATCTGAAAGTGGTTGAGTGGTTGGTTCTAGTAAATTTGGATGGAACCATGCTGGACGCTTTTTAGGCAATTCAACTATACGTTGACCCTGAATCAGATGGTATTAAAAAAAAATGTCTTAAATAATTTGAAGAATGAAAATATTTTAATATTTGACAATCACATGAGCTTCATACTTTCCAAAATTCTGCAGGTTTCTGTTCTCTTTCTCCCTCGTACAATACAACAATATCGTCTTTCACAGGATCAAGTTTGAGTTCCTGTTCCATAGCTTTCTGAATTTCTAAAGTTTCTTCTTTAACCTTCTTGTAACAAGTTCCTAATAATTTCAATAATAATTAATGAAATAATACTTGAAAATTAGGCAATAAATGACAATTGGATACCACAAATAGTATGTGCTTCATAATAATGTCCACATGCCCTGCACATTAATAAATTAGTTTTTGGTACAAGTGGCTTCCAATTATACTTTGGCCAACCGAACTTCCGTGATAATCGTTTTTCGATAGATCTTCTGTGCTTTGGAACTCCCCAAAGAAATCCATCTTTCCAAATATCTTTTACAGATATACTGGAGTTTGGTTTATCTATCGAATCTAGTTGAGCTATACACAGACCTAAGAAAAAAATAAAATTAAGGTAATTCATGATAAATATATTAATTACGTTAAATAATTTCAAGAATAGTATAAATCCGACAATGAACATAGGTTATACTTGAAAATCATATTAATTTTGAGTGGATTTTCATTATGTTCGCAAAATAAAGTCACATGACGAATTAACATACCGGGTTGAAATTTACGCAATATAGCCGTTATAACGGCATCTTCCACTTTTAATAAAGTTTGCGTTAAACTTTTGAACAGTTTAGTCATCATTGTTCAACATATATAATATTCTATTTAGAGTAGCTGTCTGCTAAACTATACATATGTATAGCATCAGTCATTTCAACCAACGTTTGGTAAGGTAGATACTTCTTTGCCGATAAATTGGATTAAATTAGTTTTATTATTTCTCCGCTTTCACACCGATGGCGGCAACTTGTCGTTTAAATTGAAACGAGGGTTATTTTGTGAATGGCTTGCGAAATAGCGATATTGCAGTCAACTCAGCAACGATTGTATATATTTATAACACTCAACACATCTAGATAAACTTTGATGAGTGTATATGTATAAATTATGTCTAATATTGCGTAGTAATAGCGAAAAGGAAGCAAATGAAATAACTTTTGGAGATGTAGACAATACTTGGAATTTTAATTGTTTCAGAACATTAGTGCGATTGGACGCTAAGATATCTAGGCACGTATTGCTGTCATAAGTCATTAAGAAGGAACACTGGTGAAATATTAAAAATGACAATGCATAAATATTTTCAATGTGTAAAATTGAATTAGGACTAAGAATGGAATGATTATAGTGATAAAGGCGATGCGTCAATGAAACTAAAGAATAGGTATGCGCGTGTAAATAAACGAATGAGATAGTAACCGTATATATGGCATAGTAATCGTTATATGGCAAAGAAAAGAAATCAGTGAAAGAGCTGGAAGCGGTCGAGTAACTTGAACGCACACAGGCTGTGCAGCTACGGCTAGGAGAGAGAGAGAGAGAAAGAGAGAGAGAAAGAGAGAGAGAAAGAGAGAGAGAGAGAGAGAGAGAGAGAGAAGAGAGAGAGAGAGAGAGAGAGAGAGAGAGAGAGAGAGTAGCCGGGTGGGAAATCCCACCTCAAGGTAGCGGCGGCGGCGGCTATAGGCCCCAGGAAGGGGTTCGTATTCACATAGCAAGGAAAGCAGACGGCCAGGAGCTGGAGCCTCAAGCTCGGCGCGAGCGCGCTCGACGATTGATTCTCGAGTAGAGAGCTGCGAGAGCGAGAGCTGGCAGTAGGCGGTCGGAGAGCGAGTCAGCTGCAATAGAGAAGCGAGCACGACTGAAGGGAAAACGCAGAAAGCGGCGCGCGGTGGGGACCAGTGGAACTCTCGAAAGTCGTCCGAGTGAGTCGGTTGGGCTCGCAGTCGGCTCACTGCACTTTTCGCCATGGCGTGTTTAGGCTCGAGTCGGCTCTGTGCCCGTGCGGAGAAACTGTGCCAGTTGCGCCGAAACCTCACCACCTCGGCCAGCTTGCGCCGCGAGCTTGACAACCCCCAGGCCGCCCTCTCAACCAGGCTCATCCAACGCTGCCAGGTAAGCTTTCGCCCCGACAGCTATTTTCGCGGCCCTCAACCCCTAATTCTCCTTTTGCTCGCTGCGTGCTCGCCTCGCATCGAGCTTTCGTGCTTTAGGCTTTAGTCATCAATATTTATCCTCGCGAAGCGATAGCAAGACCTAACCTATCAGGGAGAAAAGCACGTCAAATTATGTAACAGCGATAGTGCCGTTGCAGCCTGATTGCGCGGCCTATTGTCTGAGATGGTGGTGGTGGTCGTGACAAGAGTCGTGGATTCTAGTCGGACAGGTGGGTCTGACTGGCGCGGTATCGGGTGAGCGAAGGGAATGGCGTTGCGGGTCATCGCGGGCTAGTCACGAGCACGCGGTGTTCTCTGTGCATATCAGCTGCTAGCAGACGACGTAGCTGTCGTGGTGCTTGCTCGCGGCTGTTGCTATATATATATATATATGTACTATCCACTGCGATAAGACCAGCCGCAATTGCGTCTGCTAGGGCGGCGCGGTTGTGCGCGGGCGCGTGGCGCGGAAAACGCGCCAAAACCAAAGCTCCGCGACGTGGACGAATGGCCAAAAGTAAAAGAAAGCCGCCTACTGTCGCCACTGTGTGCTAATGCGCGTGGCGTGCTTATGGGCAAAGAGCACTTTCTCCTTGGTCATATGCTCGTACGGCAAGGCGGCACGTTGGCCAGCGATCAAATATTTGCTTGCAAGTTTCACCGCCCCCCTCCTCTCTCTCACTCTCTCTCTCTCTCTCTCTCTCTCTCTCTCTCTCTCTCTCGATCTAATTCGCTTGTCGCAGGTTTGTCACGAAAAGTACCGATTGAACTGCAGCTGGTCGGCGCACTTGCCAACGCATACCGAGAGTGCGCGCGTGGGTTGTCGAAAGCGGGATGTTTCTCAAGCTTTCGGAATCCGTATGCGAAAAAAGAGTGTGCGACACTTGATTTGCATGAGGTCCGAGAGTGTCTCTGGCTGCAGGTGTGACGCAACGTATAGCTGAATAGAGGAGAGATGCGACGCGGTCGGCTGTTGTGTGCTCTCGCGGCGATCGCGGTTTGCAAACGCCAGCGCTGGGCGAGGCTACTTCCTTTAGGCGACATTTCAAAATCGCCTTCCGCAAGCCGCTTTCGCCAGCTGCGCTCGGCCGGTCCCCTCCGCGCTTCGGTTTCCAACCCCGTGGCGCCGGGCTGCCGGCTACGCGTGCCAACCGGGATCGCGCGCTCCGGACGCCGACGGCATCGTCTCGCTAGCTCTGCCGTTGGCAGAAGAAGTTCTCCGCGGAACGTCCGAATGCACCTCGCGCAGCGCCACTTTCGCATTCTCCCGGGTGGCTCGTTTATTGCGCAACGCGTTCGATCTGGGAGCATCGACGTTGGCCTGAAAATGTAGTCGCCCGTGAGGCGACTTTTTATTTCGAGTCGCTCGGTCGCGGCTTTTAGCAATGTACACACGCGTTTGCGGTGACGCACTGTGACGACTACAGTCGTCGGTCTGCCCAACCGCTGCAGAGTGCGTACGATCTACAAATATCGTAAATATCGAGCGTACGTGTGGTGTGTGCGCTGCATTCGTTCATTAGCGAACAATCATCCTTTATAATGTGGCGTCTTGAATATGCACGGGGTTTTCGTGACCGATGATGCGGCGATTAGATCAGAGAAAATGACGGGCAAAGAAAGACACGGCGATCGATGGAAGGAGCGTTGCCGAGTGCGCTGGACGTGCCAGCGAGACGGCCAAAGTTGAGCAAGTGCAAACGATTCGTGGAAGATGTTGCTACAGCGCGAGTCGGCGCGCCGACCCCGAACGGGCGTCTCTGCCGAATGGCCATCGATAGTCCGAATACGCGCGGCAGTGCGCGCATGAATACCTTACTAATGCAATTATTAACGCAACAAAGTGACGCGCGCGCTTCTCTGTATTTACATTTTAATCCGTGCCTGCCACATTAAATTTCATGGCGGCGTGCTTCTTGCTCATTGCTCGTCGCCTCCTCTTCTCTTTTGGAAGGCCACCCACAGCAACGCGCCCAGCTTCGTCAAGCGTATTTTGCATGTCGCTTCCGTTGTGCAACGAATCGCGTCTGCCTGCACTGGCCTCATCTCCGCCACTGGCGCTATCCTTCCTGAAATCACACCACACCGAGATGTTGTATTGTTGCCTGCTGTCGCTTCGCTCGACATATGCCAAAGTGGAGCGTCGTTTGAACACTTTAATGACCATATTGGGATTTTCGTGGTCGCACTTTCACTCGCGAGCCGCGCGACGATGTCGACGACGACGCCGACGATAGCGGAAAGATGCGACGCAGACGGAGTTTGTGCGATGATCGCTAGCGTCGGCGAAGCACGCATGATCGTTAAACGGAACCACCTGTTTGATCCGAGGGCACGTAACCATTGGATTTTCGTTCTTCTGGCTAACGCGCATACGCACACGGACACCACGCTGTTCGCGCGAACTTGAGCCGCTCGTCGACAGTTTAGCTGTAACTTGTCGCGCGTCGCGTTCGTTTGATCGATTTCAATTATGAGAAATTCGTCGTTTACCGAGGCAGCACTTGGCTGTGAGTGTCGACCGAACGTAAAGGCGTGACCGAAGACACGGGCAATCAATCTTATTCCGGAGTGGCATGCACGTCGACCGCCTCTAGCTGTCCGCGGGACGCGATAGCTGCGTGCAGTGCTATGTCTCAATCGGCATATATTTCACGCTCGTATGAGCTCTAATGCGCACAGCGCTCGCAGAATTATTGCTTACGGCGTACGCGCGCGTATTTAGCGTGCTGTTGTAAAGGTCGGCTACGCAACGTTTTTTTTATTGGCGTCCAAGAGCAAACGAGGTGAACGAACTGGCTTGTAAATACGTAGTTTTCATTGGCGCTCAGTGTCAGATTTGGCAGCCAGGGTCATGCTGCGGAATTAGGGGGGCCCGATGACGATGTCGCGTCGTAGCGAGCGTGCGAGCGAGCCGTCCAACGAGAAATTGCGCAGACTTTCATTTTGATCTTGAAACCGAGCGCAGAGTCAGAGTCGCGCGGGTAGAAAGCCGCGAGAGCGAAGCAGCGGCGTGCTTGGCGTCGTCGATCGACGAATGAAAAAGGCCGCGCGGCCGGAGATCTTCGCCAGCGGCGGAGAACAGCGCAAAATTGTCCTTGCCGGCCGTATTACTCGAGCGGGGGCGCAATTACCACGGCGGCCGAGGCCAAGCTCGCGCAGACCAATTACGCGATATTGTTTAAACAAAGCACGAGCATCCGAGCAAACGAGTCTCCGCGTCCTTCGCGTCTCTTCGAGCGAGCTCTCTGCCCCGCGGTGCTCGAGTGTGAATCTCCTCTATTGCTCAATCACAATTATCGCGCCGCGCGCGCAAGATCCTTTCAGCGTTTCGCAGCGTTAACTCGATAAATTCATCGGCTCTCTCGTCTCCCGACTCGTCCACGACGCGCGATCGCATTTTTCCTTTTCCTTTGTGCCGCGCGACAATCGTCCACCTGGCTAGATGCCGCCAGCTCGCCTGATTATGATCGATCGATCGCGCGCCTACGTCAAAGCGCGCGACATTACGACAGCCCACTGGAATTTTTCAACGAGCCGTATCTGCCCATACGTAGGCCCATCGTTATTAGTCGACCGGGCGTTCACGACGCCTCGCGACGCCTCGCGACGCCTCGCGATTAGATTCTGCCCCTCTGTCCGGCGCCCGCTATGCTTCGACCGGTGTAAAAGTGCGACGGCTCCCGTTGAAATGGAGGAAAAGCGCGCTGTCGCAGTTGGGATCTCTCGCCGAAGGAAATACCGGTCGTCGACCACTCTCGGCAGCGACGAACCCGTGATCCAGTTGTGCAACGCGCGCTCGTTCGATTCGACGTGTCATATCTCGGGCTCGTTCTAGCTCGGTCGTCGCTGCCTCTCGCCGTGCCAACGACGCGTACTCGCCACCGTCGCGCTTCGCGATCATCTCCGATACGACGACGAACGACGTCAGGCTACCAAGCGAGTTCGCGCGGACGGATGGAGCCTTCGAAAACCGTGCCACTCGTCGGCGTTTCGAAACCTTCGCGAGTCATCCAGCCCGATGAAGCGGTGCGAGCGCGAGTCGCAAGGCGAAGTCAGCGGCGGTCCGCGCGTCGCGTCCATTTTTATTGCTCCCCGAGGAAATGGATGGATGCGGTGCGCGCGGTTCGGCAAAAGCGGACAAAGAGCGTCGGCCGAGCGGCGCGCCAAACGCACGGAAAAGCGGAGAGGCGCGCGCCGGGTCGGACGAGCGGTTCGACGCGAGAAGCCGCGTACGCGCGGCCTTGGGCGGGCCTCTCTTCTTCCGCGCGCTCTCGCTGCATACAAATCAGCGGCCGGCCAGAGATGCACGCGACTCGACGATACTTGCCGCGAGGCTCGTTCGCTCTGCGCGCCCGTACCGGCCGAAAAGCGAGCAGCACGTGCGCCAATGGCGCGCCTTTGTCGGCCGAGCGCGGAGTGTCGCAATCGGCTCGCAGTTTCGGTTATCCGCAGCGGGCCTCGCGGCAGCGTCCACCGACGGCATTATTGCGAACGCTCGGCGTCTCGTGCTCCGTCGCTTTTCGCGGACAGTTGCGACAGGCTGACCGGCGGTTCTTCGCGCCTGCCGCGCTTCCAGCGAGACAATTGCAAACGAGCGGCGCCCGACGGTCGAGTCGAGTGCGAAAAGGCGTCGCGAAGAAAGCAGCCGACGAGCAGCGGCGCCGCGGGCGCGGAGCAGGGAGCACGATGAAAAGCAGAGTTGTCGGCATAAAGCAAGCCAGGCAGAAAGAGACGGGCGAGAAAGTCGGCTGGACGCGGCAACGAGCGACCGGCGGTCCGCCGATTCGGCCCCTTTCAGTAGCTCTCGTCCGCGACCCGTCAGACGCGCCGACTGGCGGCCCCTTCGACGGCCCCACGACGCTGCGTGTCCCCCGCTGGAGGATGGACGTCGATGTAGCTCGCTTGCGAAATCGCGCGTGCCTCGCCGAGGCCAATATCCGCTAAAGATCGCACCGA